GAGAACAGTTTGGTCACTCGATGAATCACAAGGCACGGCATCAGACAGCGTATAATTATACCCCTTTCCTCTTGCCACCCCCTGAAGGTACTCGGGGCACAAGTGGAGTTGATAAAATAAATACCTGATGAACGGTCTGAGCACAGTCATCACCGCTTTGACGTACCAGGTGGAATGCACAAGAATCAGGGACTTCAAGTTCTTCCGGAGTCTGCAACAGAGGCCAAAAGGGATATAAGGCGCTGTTAACTCACGGAACTCCCCGCCACAGGGTTTTTTGCGACTGGCAACACAAGAATTCAGAGGGCACACAGAGGTTATTGGCAAACGAAAAGAATTTGGTGTTAGCAACCACACGGAAACACGTGTGTTTCCGAAACAGTAATGGAAGGATTGTTGTAGATTTTCCAGGCTGTATGACCGTGGTCTTGGCATTGTAGGACCTGACGTTTCGCCAGCAACTGTGACTGGCATCCTCAGAGGTATAACACAGAAAGAGGGAGTACTCTCTGTGTCAAGGTCTCCCAAATACTAGCCCAACAGAAGAAGAAGAAGAGAAGGAAGAGGAGGAGGAGTATTTATACTCCGCCGTTCACTCCGAGTCTCAGAGCGGCTTACAAACTCCTTTCCCTTCCTCTCCCCAAGACAGACACCCTGTGAGGTAGGCGAAGCTAAGAGAGCTCTGAGAGAACTGTGACTGACCCAAGGTCACCCAGCTGGCTGCATGTGGAGGAGAAGTAAGGAATCAAACCTGGCTCTCCAGATTAGAGTCTGCCGTTCTTAACCACGGCACCAAACTGGCTCTCTTCGAAGCACTGCACCATGCTGGCTATCCGACAGAGAAGCCCCCAGCTGGGCTGGATGCGTCCATTTCCTTTTAACTTCCCCACCCCGCCCCATCTTACCGCCTGTCGATGGTCTGGTAACACTGCCTGATCCAGGCGAAAGGAGGGACCCGGCTGCGCGGGGTGGCCCCGTTCAAGCACACCAGTGTGTAGTTTTCCGCCACCATCAGCTCCAGCGTGCTGCTGATGTAGCTGCCAAGCGGGGGAAGAAAAGAAACACGGCAGGTGAATCGAGAGTTTCAAACAGGCGAGCCCCTTTGCAGGAGAGATCCAGGGCTATTTTGGGGCAGGAACGCACAGGAACGGCATCCCGGCTGGCTCCCAAGTTGGCCACACCCAGCAGGAACTTATTAGCATAACAGGCCACGCCCAACAGCAAAAACTCATTAGGATTGGCTACATCAAGGGTGTGTGGCCTAACATGCAAAGGAGTTCCTGCTACAAAAAAAAGCCCAGAGTTTTGACCACAAACAAGGTAAACAGAATAAGAAGCAAAAGGTGGGTGTGGCTGGATGAGCACACTTCTGGTAACATGGGGGTGCGGCCTAATGTGCTAATGAGCTGAGCTGTCAGGGGCGTGGCCTAATAGGCTAATGAGTTCCTGCTGTTGGGTGTGGCCTATTATGCTAATGAGTCCCTGCTGGGCTTTTTCTACAAAAAGAGCCCTGGCAGAGATCCAATACCCGCTGTCCTGGTACCCGTCTCACAAAGCAGGAACGGAAATCAGAAGCAATCGATTGCGAATATGGTGCCATTATTCAAACAGCTGGCCAGATTAACGGATTCGTTTCGATCAAAGCCAAACTGGGAAACCAGTATGTTTTGTTCTTCCCCTCCTTGAAGAAGAAGAGGAGGAGGAGGAGACTGGATTTATACCCCGCCTTTCACTCGGAGTCTCAGAGCAGCTTACAATCTCCTTCCCCTCCCCATAACAGACACCCTGTGAGGCAGGTGGGGTTGAGAGAGCTCTTTCGAGGACTGCCCTTGAGAGAACAGCTCCGAGAGAACTTGTGACTGACCCAAGGTCACACCAGCAGCTGCATGTGGAGGAGTAGGGAATCAAACCCAGCTCTCCCAGATTAGAGTCCGCGCTCCTAACCACGACACCAAACTGGCTCTGTGATCCCAGTGCACTGCACATGGCTCTTCCCTCCCTCCTCCTCTCCTCACAACAATCCTGTGAGGTCAGCTACATTTCGAGATGGCGACTGACCCAGGACCACCCGATAAGCACCTCAACCATGTGGGGATTCAAAACCGAGTTTCCCCCCGACCTCCCCTAAACTGGGCTGCTTTCCCACCGTTCAGGCTCCACTGGACAGTTTTGGATTGCTAGCTACTGGGGGGGGGGAGAACGTGCAGATCTGTCCTCGCAGAGGAGGGAGAGCTTGCACCTGAATAAAACTTGGCCTTAAAGTTGCCACTGGACTGTTTTGGATTGCTAGCTATTGGGGGGGGACGTGCAGATTTGTCCTCGCAGAGGAGGGAGAGCTTGTACCTGAATAAAATTTGGCCTTGGGTGGCAGTGTGGTGGTTGGGCTGTGGTTGGGGTCTCTGCAACTTACTTGGCTGCTTCTTGCTCTGACTGAGGGCTGCTGGGAGCAGGGGGTGGGGCTTGTTGCATGTGCCCGCCCCCTGGGCTCTTTACTGCCGGAGCTCCGCTCCTGTGTGCTCCTGCAGGAAATGACCCCTGCATGTGTGCCATAAAATGTAATGTCAGGTACCGGAGGTATAAACTGTATAAAGGACAGCAGCTGGTAAGGTCCGAATTGGTGTACCCTCGCTGCAAGGGGGTGTGCAAAGGAAAACCCACATGGGCGGACTAGAGAACCAAACGGTGCAGCCCTGGGCAGACGCTCCCACGCTGCTTAACTGCTGCAGACGAGATTGTTCCCGCCGTGCTGGATCCACAATCGAAGTGGCTCCCTGCCACTTCGGCCTCGAGTAGTCTCCCGTTCCCTCCCTTGCACTAGTTGCTCGCGGGCCGCATAAGAGTCCTGGGCGGGCCAGTTCCGGCCCCCGGGCCTTATGTCTGACACCCCTGCCCTAGAGTCCACCCTCCAAAGCATTCATTTGCTCCAAGGGAACTGATCTCTGTCGTCTGGAGATGACCTGGGATTAGAGATGTGAAGGCCCGGAAAAAAACTGGAAAAAAACAGTTTTTTTCCGTTTTTTTCCTGAAGCCTTTTTTGTTTTTTTCCAAAAAATTGAAAAAACAAAATAAAAGAAAAAAATTGACTATGGAACGTTTTATTTTAACATGATGAATAAAATATTTTAAGACAAGGTGTTCAAATATTTTCCAAATCATATATATGGTATCAGATTGATCTAATTTCTGTGCACTTGAGGACAAGCAAGTCCTAGGTTACAAACTGAACTCTCCAATGCAAGAACAAGATGCATTTCTTCCTTTAGAAGGTGCGATTGTCAGAAGAAAATAAAAAGGTTTCAGTTTTGTTTTTGCATGTGGGTGGGTATTCTGTTTGTAGTAATTGTTTGGATACACTATATTTTTAATATGCTAGATGTGATAATTTCATGCCAAGTAAAAATGTCCATAGTCATATTTTATGTTCCTAAAGTAACAGAATGACTTTCAATCTAGAAAAGATAAAACAAATGCTAATGTAGCATTTTTTTTCAATTTTTCCGAAAATTTCCGTTTCCCCCCGAAAAAAACTGGAAAAAACCCAGGTTTTTTTCTGAGCTTCAAAATTTCTGGAAATTTTACATCTCTACCTGGGATCCCCAGGTCCCACCCGGAGGCTTGCATTTCGGAGTCCGCCACCTCTATGTTCTTATCACCAAATGCGTTCCATCCAGGGGGTATCGCTCACCTGAAGAGGTTCTCCATGACGTAGGGGTAATTGGGGATGGTGTTCTCCGGTAAGTAGCAGGAGGCAAACATTATGATGGCATTGAGGCCTTCGCCATGGTAGCCTGGGAAAGAAAGATTGCGTGAACGCACGTGAGATCTCCACAGCTGATGTCTTTCACATCACCAGCCACCTGATCCTTTTATCTGGAGATGAAAGGTAAAGGTAAAGGTTTCCCTTGCTCGAAAGCTAGTCGAATCCGACTCTAGGGATGCGGTGCTCATCTCCGTTTCCAAGCCGAAGAGCCAGCGCTGTCCGAATACGTTTCCGTGGTCATGTTGCCGGCATGACTAGACGCCAAGGTGCACGGAACGCTGTTCCCTTCCCACCGAAGTGGTCCCTATTTATCTACTTGCAATTTCTTGCTTTCAAACTGCTAGGTTGGCAGGAGCCGGGGCCAGAGACGGGAGCTCACTCCGTCAGGCGGCACCCGGGTCTCGAACTGCCGAACTACCGACCTTCCGGTTTGCAGCTCAGCATCTTAACCTCTGAGCCACCACAGAGCCTTATCTGGAGAGGCCAGGGATCAAACTAGTAGCTCTGCTCAACTTTGGACAGGGGTCATGACCAGTGTTCCCTCTAAGTTGAGTTAGTATGAGCTAGCTCACAGTTTTTTAGCCTCCGGCTCACACATTTCTGTCTCAGCTCAGGAAGGGGGGCTCCAGAGCAAACTAATTTATGTGGCAGCCAAATCGCTCGCTCACAACTTTAATGCCAGTAGCTCACAAAGTAGAATTTTTGCTCACAGGACTCCACAGCTTAGAGGGAACATTGGTCATGACTCATGACCTCCATTGGGCAGCGAAACCTCGCAAGATACCCACTCCCTGGTCTCCTTTGCATCGGGTTTGTTTATTTTACAGAACCAGGTCACTGTGTTGGTCTGAAGCAGCAGTCTGCGTCCAGTGGCACCTTTTAAGTTGTTGTTGTTCAGTCGCACAGTCGAGCCCGACTCTTCGCGACCCCATGGACCAGCTCCCGCCAGGCCCTCCTGTCTTCCGCTGTCCTCTGAAGTTGGCTCAATTTCATGTTCGTTGCGTCAATGACACTGTCCAACCATCTCATCCTTTGCCGTCCCCGTCTTCTTTGACCTTCAGTCTTTCCCAGCATCGGCGGCTTCTCCAGTGAGTGCTCCCTTCTCGTTTGGTGGCCAATGAGAAGGAAATGGCAACCCACTCCAGTATCTTTGCCAAGAAAACCCCATGGACAGTAACAAAAGGCACCTTTTAAGACCAACAGATAAAACTTTGTTGGTCTCAAAGGCGCCACCAGGCGCAAACTTTGTTTTATGGAAATGCATAGATATGCCGCCTTTTCTGTTGACCGAGGTCATCCGCCCTGTGAGTTCCCCGCCAAGTAGAACTCTAACCTCCTCGCATCTTTGTGGCGGGTGAAGCTTCTCTTCTGGAACACCTGCCAGTTGACAGATATTCTAGTGAGCAGCAAAGAAATTTGGCTTCTTCTTTAAAAAAAAAAGAAAAGAAAAGGTAGCCACCTTATCCTTGGAACAATTAGACTCGAGCCCAGAAGCGATAAGAGAGCAACAAGATTTTTTGGGGGGTGAACTTTCCCGAGTCAAAGTTCATCTGACGAAAGCTCGCATCTCGAAAATCTCGTTGGCCTCTGAGGTGCGACTGGACTCGAATCCAGGTCTTCTACCGCAGACCGGCATGACTAACCTCTTCAATTATCCCAGGAGCAGATAATTATCTCCCCTCCCAAAAATCATGAGCAATGAGCTAAGGCTGTCTGCCGGTACCTCCGTGAGAGATGACCCGCTTGTAGGGCCCGATGGCACGCAAGTCCACCTTCAGTTCCCTCTCGTCCAACCGGAAGACCCGCCACGCCTGCCCATCCGGGCTCTTGAAGTCCACCACGCGGTCGGAGCAGAATTTCTCAGACAGGCTGTCGTCCAGGCGCTGAGCCCTGGGGAGGTCATCTGCGGATAGGGAAGTCCAGGGGTCATTTTGTAGAAATAGAGGGGCTGGAGCTCATTAGCATAACTCATTAGCATAACTTATTTGCATATGCCACACCCCCTGACATCACGGAAAGTGTGTCAGAAGGCGACACCCACCGCTCAGGCTCCACTGGACTGTTTCGGATTGTTAGCTATTGGGGGGGGGACGTGCAGATTTGCCCTCACAGAGGAGGGAGAGCTTGTACCTGAAGGCGAGATGGGGGGGGGACTCTGCAACTTACCTGGCTGCTTCTTGCTCCTCGTGGCCCAACTGAGGGCTGCTGGGAGTAGGGGGTGGGGCTTGTTGCATGTGCCCGCCCCCTGGGCTCCTTACTGCCGGAGCTCCGCTCCTGTGCGCTCCCGCAGGAAATGACCCCTGGGGAAGTCACATCATACTCGGATCAGGACCAATGTTCCCTCTAAGCTGTGGAGTCCTGTGAGCACAAATTCTACTTTGTGAGCTCCTGGCATTGAAGTTGTGAGTGAGCCATTTGGTTGCTGCACAAATCAGTTTGCTTTGAGGCCCTCCTTCCTGAGCTAAGGCAAACATCTGTGAGCTGGAGGCTAAGAAACTGTGAGCTAGCTCACACCAACTCAGCTTAGAGGGAACACTGATCAGGACCCCGTTTCTCCAGCACTTACTTTTTGCTCGGCTTTTCTTTCCAGGTGGGACTCAAAACAGCTTAGAATATCAATCTCCCCTCCTTCTTTCTCCCTGTGAGGTGGGCCAGGCCAAGAGTTTGCGATAGGTATGAGATCATCCTAGGGTTGCCAAGTTGGGCGTTGCGCCGCAGCGGGGGACTCCCGGCTGGCGTCTGGAGCGCGTTTTCCCTCGGATGACCGTGGCCCCGCCCCCAGGGTGCCCGGCGTGGTCGCGTCACTTCCAGGTGACACGCACGTCGGGGTGGGGCTCCCCCCGGGGCCCAATCCGCCGGCGGTGGAGAACGGGCCTCTGGGGCGGGGGTTTCCCTGCCCCCTGGGGGGACCTGGCAAGCCTAGATCATCCGGCTCACTGGTTTTGTGTAGTGGTTAAGTGTGCGGACTCTAATCTGGGAGAACTGGGTTTGATTCCCCACTCCTCCACTTGCACCTGGCTGGATGGCCTTGGGCAAGCCATAGCTCTGATAAGAGCTGTCCTTGAAAAAGAGCCATTTCTGTCAGAGCTCTCTCAGCCGCACCTACTTCACAGG